ATTTGTTTTCTGAGGTTCTCGCGGGTATTTATATGTAGATCTTTGGTTGTTCGGGTTTTCTCCCGCGTAAGATTTGAAGTATCTAGGCAACGTTTCGATGAAGTCTCATTCATCATCTTCAGGCTTCTGTCTCCAGCTCTGTGCTTCTCAGAGTAATGGAGATTGCAGCTGCTTCCTCCTTTTAACTGCCAGTGGGGGTGGAACTTGATTGGGTGGGGGCTTGGCTGTGTTCTGATTGGGTGGGGGGGTGTTCTCATTGGTAGGGGGTTTTGGCTGTGTTCTGATTGGTTGGGGGGTTAGCCGTGTTCTGATTGGTTGGAGGCGTGTTCTGTTCAGGAGGGGGCTTGGTTGTGCTCAGGTTAGTTTTAGTTGCTGGGGGATTTGAGCTGGAGAGTTGTGATCTTGCTGTTTGGCTTCTAGTTCGTGGTCCTGCTGCATCTTCATAGTGGGTGTTGGTTTGCTTCATGTATGGCTCAGAGGGGTTTGAAGTGGGTAGTGATGCAGCTGCAGTGCAGCTTCTGGTCCATGGTCGTTTCTCATTTTCTGAATGGGTGGGAGTCTGTTTTCTACATGGAAGTGTGGTGGTGGCATCTTGTGTGGCTCTCATGGGTGTGGGTCTGGTGTCCTTCTTCATGTTAGGTACTCGTCTGTTCATGAGGGCGGGTTTCCAAATGGCTGGAAGGCGGGAGGTGTCATCTCGTTTGTTCATGCTGTGTGGGCGTTTTTCTATCTCTATGGCTTCTCTGATTATTCTGCTGTTGAAGTGTTCGGTTTTGGCGATAGTTCTGGTATTTTTAAAATCAATTTCATGTCCTGTGGCTTTGAGGTGTTGGACCAGGGAAGAGGTCGTTTCTTCTTTTTTGATTGAGTTCTTATGTTCTTCAATGCGTGCATTTATTCTTCTGTTAGTTTGTCCAATGTATGTGGTAGGGCAGGCAGTGCAGGGGATTTCGTATACTCCTTGGTTTTCTAATTCGATTTTGTCTTTGGGGTTTCTTAGGATGGTGGATATTTTTCTGTTTGTGCAGAATGCTGTTTTGATGTTGTGTTTTTGGAGGATCTTGCTAATTTTGTCTGTAGTGCCTTTTATATATGGGAGGAGGGCTTTGCCGTTTTCTTGTTCTCTGTCTTGGATTTTGGTTGGGGTTTCTTTTTGGATTAGGTGGGTAATCTTCTTTCTTTGGAATCCATTGGCTGCAAGTACGTTGGTGAGAGTGTGTAGTTCGGTTTTTTGGTGTTGTTCATCGGCTAAGCATTTTGTTCTGGAGATGAGTGTCTTGGCTACGGAATTGATCTGTGCTGGGTGGTGGTGTGAGAGTGCATGTAGATAGCGGTTAGTATGTGTTTTCTTCTGGTAGATGGTGTGTCCTAGGGAGCCATTGGATCTTTTGTATACCAAGACATCTAGGAAGGGAAGTTGATTGTTGGCTTCTGTTTCCATGGTGAATTGTATTTTGGGGTGTAGACTGTTGAGGTATGTGAGGAAGTTGTTCAGTTTTTCTTTCCCGTGTGGCCAGATTATGAAGGTGTCATCTACGTATCTGAGCCAGAGTTTGGGTTTGTGGTCGTATTTTTCTAGAGCTTGTGTTTCAAAGTGTTCCATGTAGAGGTTTGCGATGACAGGTGAGAGGGGTGATCCCAT